TATCCGATTTTTGAAGTTTTAAATGTTATTTTTTATTTTTGAAATGTTTCTTACTTGATTTCTTAAGATATAAAAGTTTCCCTTTTTATTATGTGTTAAATTTAGCATGTCTGCCTCAAATCGAAGTAAGCAAAAAAATTATGAGAATATATCGAGTTTCTAGTATATAGCAAAGAATTGAGAAATCTATTTAGATAAATGATTTTTTCCCCCCGAAAATGATGGATTTGTTTTACACAACAACGCAATTAGGATGGACACTCTAATTGCAAAAGGAGGAAATCCATTTTTCACAGAAATATTAGAGAAGTCTCGCAAGGGGTGGGTGTTAGATATTTTTCATCATTTTGCATATATTTATTTTTTGTTTTGCGAATGACTTGCCGTCCCGTACTAGTGTTTGCCGCTGCGCAACGAGGATCAACCTGCCCGGTCAGGTCACGAGGGTCGAGGGGGCAGCGCCCTTACACCAAACTATCTATAAACATTTCAAAACTTCTCAATGATTTGCCGCCCCGACTAGTGTTTGCCGCTGCGCAACGGGGATCAACCTGCCCGATCAGGTTTCTCTGTGACACACTGCCTCTCTCTCCGTAACACACTGCCCCTGAGCAGTGTGTCACGGAGAGAGTTTCTAGGGCTCGGGGGCAACGCCCCCCGAAAGATAATTTTATTTTCAAAAGTTTTTGAATATGTGCATCTGTTATTTTTTAACAGTCACTTCCAACAGATGTACGCAAGGATTTCAAGGGACACACCTATTCAAACGGTTGCCTCATTTTCTATAAATTCTGGACGAATTCTCGTTTGCAAAACACATTAAAAAAATTATTCTTCTTTCTTTCTCTTGGCATCAATCAGTTCTTTTCGAATGTCTTTTTGATTTGATCAAATAGTCACAATTTGATGTCTCCATTGTATCCTGAGAGAGATTTTCTATCATACCCCAGTTGTAAATTTGTTGGATAAGGGAGAAACATCTCTTAAAAAATAACGTTTTTTCGTGTTTTGGAGTTCATTAAGTTTTCAGATTTCGCTACATTTTTCTCAACAGTGAGCCCCACGTGAATATTATAAAAAAAGAAAAAAGCCACCCCTCTATTGTGTATCTTGTCTGGAGAGGTTTTGTAACCCCTTCCCTTCCTTCTGTACATATAGGGCCTCTCTTGCAAAAGCAAGCTACAGCCCTCACCCTACCCAAAAATAAATAAATAAATTAGTTCATAAACATTGTCCAAATTTTCTTTTTCTGTTTCGACAGTTCATAAATTAGATTAGAAAATTTAGTCCAATCTAAAAATTCATTGTCGGTTCAACTCTAAATTTTTTCTGTCCCTCTAAATGCATTAGGTAATCATTTGAGGTGGGAAAACTATGTATCGCACACCATCTTGATACTATCAAGTAAAAGTGCAGAGACAAAAAGAAGAGATAGAGAGGACTGAACTTCAATATCAATCATTTGTTTGAGGAGTTTCGCCACAAGTAAACCAGGTTTGACAGTCTGATGTATAATCCCTCACAATAGGGGGCTTGCAATTTTTTTATTGGGCACGAACCCCCTATTGTAAGAGAGTTGTACATTGAGCCGTTAAATCCCAATGTACAAATAGCAAAATCCTTTTTAAGAAAGGTTCAACCCTCTCTAAATGACATGTAGACTCAAGTCGAACCAATTGTGCCAGTTCATAAATAGTGCTAATAAATGTTATATTGGATAATATCAAATGCTTGCTTCGAATAACTTAAAAGTTATTAAAAATTTGAGATTAAAGTCAATAATTAATTTTAATCGTACATTTTGTAAGACTCACAATTTTATCAAATTTTCAACCACATTTCATCAACTTTTATCAAAACTAGTTAATTTTTTTTAATCAAAATTTATCAAACAACCTCTAAATAAGATAACTAAAAAAAATCTCATCTACTTTTTTTCTTTAATTATAATAAATATATTAAATTCTTATACATTATATGTGCGTCCAGTCATGTTTCAGTATTAAGTACATGTTTTAAAGGCACTAAAATGTACTTCCATGTTTCCAGAAGTAGGGACCTTAGATAATGCTTAATTTGGTCAAATTTCTTGACAAAATTCGGAACTTAGTGGGGTTGGTGTCATCAGTCAGTCCAATGTATCTCTCTCTTTTTATTTTTTAGAAAAGGAAGTTATGAACGAATAAAAAAAATTAAAGTTTGTATTGTTAGATTCGTGGGATGCAACTCTAAGTTATGATTTTGTTTTTTCTTGTGATTAATTAATGAGTGATTTTGACAAACGAAAAATAATTTTAAAAAATAAGGCCAATGTCAAGAATTAGACCAATAAATTTACCATCAAGAATTTATAATTGTCTCACTTCATCTAATTAATTGTAACGAAGTTAATAATGTTTTCTTTCACGATAGATAATGAACTTCAATTAACATGAAAATATTTACCAACATCCTATATACCTTTATCCGATAATCTTATTTAATCATGTTTAATCCATCATCTCAAAGATGATAAAGAGGATACCATGCATATATGCCATATTATTTTATTATCAATTTCAAGATTCATCATCTAATGATAGACTTCTTTATCGATATGCTCCATATCTAATAAGATTAGAAAAACCATGCTTTGCTTCTTTAGAAAAAAGGAGATAATCTCCCAAGCAAGTTCTTGACTATATTACAATATTTTTGTAGAAATTCAAGTACAAATGTTACAATGTAAACATAAACTTTTGACTCCATACCACACAAAATATACTTCCATTTTTAAAGAAATCCCCAAATCCAATATCATTAAAAAGGCCCACTAAGATTTCATTCATTCTTCTTTAAGGATAGATTAATTTAAGAAATGCACACTTGATTTTCTTAGTTAAAATTAACTTACAATTTGCTTTAATGATGACAAGAGAAGAAAAGGGAGCTAATAGATGATTACCTTAATTATGATGACCATGAGAGGAGCAAAAAAGGTGAAATTAAGTCATCCAAAAGTAGGATCAACAAGTGAGATTTATATACGAAGTGAGTAGATTTGCAATTAGATACACAACCAATAGGAGTTATGAATGACAAGTTGATGGAATATTTTTTTTGCAAAATGCCAATGTCCATTTGGAAATGACTCTTCGTATGACCAAAGTAATCGACCCTACAAAGATTGTGAGCGTGATTCATCTAGATTGCGAGATCATTTTCATCTCTTGCAAAAAATCTAGATTGTGGGGTCCTCTCTTCTTATGCAGGAATTTCTTGATGCGGCGATAAAGTTGCATCAAATGAGTCATGCATTTTAAATTTTGAACAATTAGCAGCTGGCATATAATGGTGATACATAGAGATGTTGAATGGGTCATGTTGGCATAACTGTGAGATAATTGAATATATTAAAATTTTCAAGAGTAGCATCAAATCCCAACACAACACGCTTTATTACTCATTAATAATTCTTCATGACGGTGTTCATAGGGATGACAATGGGATGGGACTACAAAATTCTACCCTAAAATTGTCCCAGCGTCTTGTCAGGGTGGGGCACTTGCAGAGTCTAAGTTTGAAGGATCCAATTTCCATCCCTAGGCGTCCTGATTGGACAAAGTGTACTGTTACTTATCTATTAGCCTGATAAGGCCCTTCCTAGTAAGGCCATCGAGACCTCGTTGGTCTTCAAT